GGGGGCCCGGCGAGTATGTGACGTCGGGGACCGGACGGCGGAGAGCCGCCGAGAGGAAGATGGGGTCCAAAAGAGTGCGGTGCGAGCACACGAACAGAATGCCAGAGTGGCCGCCGGATTCGTCGGCCGGCGGCGGCGCCCCATTGACGATGAGTCGGACGCCGAGTACCCAAAAGGCGAAGTAAGCGTATTTCATGGGGAGCAGAGATCCGGCGGCGATGCGGAGTCCGGCGAGAAGAATGGCGAAAGGGAACCAGAGTATGAGGGTGAAGGCGATCAGAGGCGTTGGTCTTTGAACCAGCCGTCCGTCGTGGAAGAATACGGGTTTGGGGAGTAAATTCGACCGTTGGGATTTGGTTTCTGTTTTCGGTGGGGCCACGTACGCCTCCTGGGATATATCATAAATAAATAATTAAAAATATATCAAAGTATTTTTTTAATTAAAAACTAATATGTACTAATCTAAAAAATATTTAAGAAGCTTATAAACTTAATATGTGCTATTACACATACATATCCGGCAATACCTAAATACATTTAATTTAATTATATGACCAATCTTTTAATATCAAAAAAATAATCAATAGTTTAATCTATATGTTTTAATATGTCAAATTAAATTTAAATACAATTTTAAGAATAATTTTAATATTAATAGAAAATTTTATTTCTTTTTAATCATATATTGGATTAAAAATTTATTCGACCGAAATATATATATATATATATATATATGTAGTAAGCAAATATAAATAAAAAAAAAATTGCATTTTAAAATCTTTTATGAATAAAATTTTAATTAAAAGATTGAAGGTTAATTATAATTTAAGAAAATATTAATTGCTTTAGATCTAAGTATTGTTAGGTTACAAAATTGCAATAAATAATTAAAATTTAATAAAAAAGTTTAATATTCTCAGTAAATGCTGTCTTATATTATGTTAATGATCATAGTATTAAATGCAATTCAATAATTTATTTCATATACAATAAAAATGAAGCAGATGTATTTAATTAGATGAAGGCTCTTTTGATAAATTATACCATTAAGAGAATGATTAGCAATCCAATCTAGATTTCTTTGTAGAACTTAGAATATTTAAAATAAATTAAATGACATTTAATAATTATAAAAAATTAAAAATTTTACTTAAACTATAAATAAAAGCTTATTCGTACAAAATCTAAACATCAAATAAACAAAAAATAAAAATAAAAAAAATATTAGTTTTTTTTTTTAATTTATGTTATCTTATATGAATAAAATATCAATTAAAAATATAGAGTAATATGTCAAAATTTTAAATTGGTGGCTTAATATAGTTTGAAAGATAATATATTTAATACTATTATAATAACAATTATAATCAACAATTTAAAATTTTAAAAATGTTCAGTATTCTTAATTATTACCTTATTACATTTAATTTTTTTCTCATCATAGCACAAAAAATTAAATTGAATTCATTAAGTTATCTTCAATGTACAAAATTCAAAATACTTAAATTTAGTATATATTTAATTATATTAAAAACCATATATAAATAATATTAAAAACCATATATAAATAAATCAATCAATAATTCTATATATATATA